CTAGACCCCCATAAAGCCTGAACCCTAAACCCTAAACCCTAAACCCTAATCTTACTGGCCCAAAACCCAAGGAAATAAAAGTTGAAACTTTGAGAATGAGCTACCTTATAAGAAGCCCAAAAGTTGAAAAGTTGGGTTTTGAGCCAGTAAGTAATCATAACCCTGCACCCTGGACTGTTGGGGGGTGGATAGTGGTATTGTATAACGTCAACGCTAGAACCCTACAACGTGAAACCCTGAACCCCAAGAACCCTGCTACAAACCCTACAAACCCACAAACCTTATAAACCCTGTCGAACCTATAAAGTCTATGTACCCTCTAACATTCAAACCCTATGAACCCCCTAAACCCTTTAGACCCTAAAGCCTAAACCCTAAACCCTGCACCCTAAACCCCAAACCCCAAACCCTACACCCTAAACCCAAAAAGCACCGTAGCACCTCATGAGACCCAGCGCGCGCGGCAGGTCGCGCAGAGGCCAGGGCGCGGCGATGTAGAAGCAGCCTTCGAAGATGAAGCCTGTTGGGTAGGGCTTCGGGTTTAGGGCTTAGGGTTTACAGTTTAGGGCTTAGGGGTTAGGGTTTGAGGTTTAGGGAGGTCTAATAAGGTTGACCCAGACCCCCGGGTACCCTTTAAGATGCTCGCTTAGGCCCTTATTAAGGGGTACTTGGGGGGGTGCAAGGGAGGGCTCAGGGTTTAAGGTTTAGGGTTGAGGGCTAGGGTTTAGGGTTTGGGGTTTGGGGTTTAGGGTTCATGGTTTAGGGTTCAGGGCTTCTCTGGTTCAAGACGACGGAGGCTAGGGGTTAGGGTTTGGGATTTGGGGGTTTCGGGTTTCCAGCACGCAGGGTCTGGACTGAGGTTTGAAGGATTGGGTTCTCTCATGTAGCGCAAGTAACGGTAAGCTGGTTGGCGCCTTCTTTTTCGGGGTCTTATAACCCCAAACTGTTAACAGCATCTGTTCACTACACATGAACCGCGGCAGCAACTCAGCCAACGTTCCTCGCACGGTGACCCCCATAAACCCTCAATATCACTCGACCCTAAAAGCCCAAACCCCAACCTCTAAACCCCTGAAACTCTGAACCCCTAAACCCGCCCTCCCCCCCCCGCAAACCCCTAAGAGAACAAAAGCCCCAAGATTTCAAAAACCCTGAAACTCTAAACTCTAAACCCTTTAAATCCTTCAGGCCCCTAAATCCTAAAGACATCATCGCCGAGAAACCGAGACCACCCTCCTCGTCGGGCCCCACGGCCTAAAAGGGCTCGGGTTTAGGGTTTAGGGTTTAGGGTTTAGGGTTTAGGGTTTAGGGTTTAGGGTTTAGGGTTTAGGGTTTAGGGTTTAGGGTTTAGGGTTTAGGGTTTACGGTTTACGGTTTAGGGTTTAGGGTTTAGCATCGGCTTCGGGATTTTAGGGCTTCAGGGTTTTGGGAGTGTTAGGATGGTGCGTAGCAAGTTGAGGGGCTCAGGGTTTTTTAGGTTTAGGGGGGAGCATGGTATGGCAATCATGTAGGGTAGGATCTTGGCCTCGTTGTAGGGTTTGGGGTGGTCAAGACAGTCGCGCTTTCAAAATGTAGCTCTAATGCCCCTATTCTTCGAGCTTAAACACCAAGGGCCCATGTGCCTATATAGTCTAGTCTATACTTGGTCCCTAAAGGCTACTATAAGGCACAAGTACCTACTACACCCAAAGGGTCCATGTACCCATATAGCAGATACTTGGGCCTTAAAGGGCTTCCCATATGGAAGCTTTAGGGCCCAATCCCTAAACCCTATGCCCTAAAGAACTGCTGGTCGGAGGAAGTGAGCCATGAACATGCGCTAAGTCCCCATGCTCCCAGCGGCAAGCCTTGTCCAAGCCGAGCTGAGACATCACGCTGCACAGTCCAGGTGGCTGAGAGTTGTCGCCATCCCGGATCATCTTCCGGAGGAGTTTCAGCAATGTGGACTTTTTCAGGCCAGTTCCCCCAAGCATCAAGACATGCTCTTTGGCCGAGATGCCGGTGCTGCCCATACGCATGGACCACGCCCTCCAACCCAACTCACTCCAAAACCATAAACCCTAAAGCCCTAAACCTTAACCCCTAAACCCCAATCCCTGAGCCCTAAACCCTACGCCCTAAACCCTAATCTGAGGACTTTGGCACCGCGTACTCCTGATGCCAAACGAGGCCCATACCGGCCCATACCTAAAAGATCAACCCCCACATACGACTAGCTAAACTCCCAACGCCTAAACCCTAAAGCTACCAACCGCAAAAAACTACCAACCGCAAAAAATCCCAAACCCCCCAAACCCAAAAACCATGAACCCCACACCCTAAAAAGCCCCAAAGCCCTCAACCCCCAACCCCCAACCGCCCTAAACGAGCCCTAAACCCTAACCCCCCAAACCCTAAACCACCATCAGCCTCTAAACCCTAAACCCTAAACCCTAAACCCTAAACCCTAAACCCTAAACCCTAAACCCTAAACCCTAAACCCTAAACCCTAAACCCTAAACCCCCACCCTCCCGACCTGCATGCGCTGTGCGTTGCGGAGGAACTCGCGGCCACCGCCCGTCAGGGCTTGCCGTAAGATTCCTCAGGTTCTGGGGCTTAGGGGATTAGGGGATGAGGGGTTTAGGGGTTTAGGGGTTTAGGGTTTAGGGGTTTAGGGGTTTAGGGGTTTAGGGGTTTAGGGGTTTAGGGGTTTAGGGGTTTAGGGGTTTAGGGGTTTAGGGGTTTAGGGGTTTAGGGGTTTAGGGTTTAGCGTTTATAGTGGGGGGCTTAGGGGGTTTAGGGTTTAGGACTTCGGGGGGCTCAGTGGGGGCTTGGGATTTAGGGCTTAGAGGGGTTCAGGTTTCAGGGCTTACGCGCGTCAAGGGGTTTTGGGTTTTGGGATTTAAGGTTTAAAGGCGGTTCTAATGGTTCAAGGTTCGGGGTGATGACTCGTTGTTTGTTTAGCGGATTCTGGGGTGGTGCTGTTGAGCCTTAGATGTTTCTATAGGGCGAAGGCAATTAGGTTCACGTGCCCGGGACATGTTCGCTTGAAGTTTTAATTAGGGGTATAGCGTGGTTCTGAAGGGGTTTACCCCGAGACTCCAATACTGCATATCTATGAAAAATCCTTAAACCATATCAGCAATCAACGCTCTTAGATTCTAACAGATATTCCGTAATTGAGGGGTACTGGAGTTCCTGGGTTTAGAGCTTAAGGTATTAAACCCTAAACCCTAAACCCTAAACCCTAAACCCTAATGTGGGGGCTGTGAGCCCATGACTTGGCCCGGGGCCGTACGCGGAGCTCATGTACTGGAAGGCATCGGCGTAGACGCTGGCCTCGGCTCATCCCCCCAACCCATTTCTTAGGGTTTAGGATTTAGGGTTTAGGGCTTAGGGTTTAGGGTTTTACGACTATTTGCTTAAGAACTCCAAAAGAATGAAAAAATAGTAATCCCTGTATTACACTTAATAAGAATACTTTTTCAATGTTTTGGGGGGTCTTAAGCAATTAGTAGTTTATGCACCCTAAGCTCAGCCTCAAGGCTCCAAGGCCCAGCCACACCCCTCCCCTCCCCCACGTTTGTCATATGCTTCCTGTCACCCCTGAACCCTCAACCCCAACTCTGCCCAGAATCCTAAATGGGCTCTGCCACGCCACGCGGCCGCCTTCGGGTCGTTCGGCAAGGCTTTCAGGGCCCGGTTGGCGTTCTCCCAGGCCTCAGGACCCACCTGGCCCAGGGTCTGCAGAGGGGTTTAGGGTTTAGTGGTTCGGGCTTGAATTTTGGGGGGCCTTAGGGGTTCGTAGGCTGTTCAGGGTTTAGGGCCTAGGGACTTATAAGTTCTCAAAGTTCGTAAAGATCTTTCGAGTTGCAAGTTAATGGGTTCAGGCCTTCGCTGGCTTAGGGTTAGGTTAAGGGTTTTAAGATGGCGCTGAGGCCTTGAAAATGTTCAGGGTTTAGGGCGCATATGTGGCGCAGAGTCGCTGTCCCACACCCACCTCCCCATTTTAGGGTGTAGGGCTTAAGGGTTGTAACGTTTGGATATAGGGGTTTAGGGTTTTATGGTTTAGGGTTTGGGGTGTTCAAGGCTTAGTGGGTTTTCCTGAGGCGCTTAAGGGTTTTGCTTGGGGTTGCTGGTTTTACGGTCTAAGGTGTCAGGGCTATATATCGTGGCTATATATCGTGTGTAGGATTTGCGTGAGGTTTTTGCATTTCTGACACTTGGTTTAGGTCCCTCACCGGGCATCAAGGCTGTAAGAAAGAAGCTGTAGGGCGCGAACCTAGTTTTGGCTGTTAAGGGTTCAGGCTATGTTTACGGAGCTAGCTCTACGATGCACAATCCTTACAGGACAACTCAACCTCCAAAATCAAAACAAATAAAAATCGAAAAATCAGTGGAACGACCGTAACGTCAACGTGTATATGCCTAGCAGTCAGCAAAAAATTTGCCTCCTTGATGTCTCTGTGCACGACTCCTTGCTCGTGCAAAAAAGCTACCGAAGCAACCACTTGTCGCATGAAACACACCATTGAGGAAGGTTCAGCAAGGCCGTTCACGGACTCCAGGGCATTCTCCAAATCACACGCATAGAGGTCAAAGACGATGCACAAAATGCCCGGTTTGTAATAAAGGTCGTGACAGCGGATGATATTTAGGTGCTGCAGCCCTCGGCGAATACCAGGGGGCCGGAAGATATGAAATCGACAATTCTGAAAATCGGAGAAGAAAAGCGCCGAGAAAAAGACCGGGCCGGCGCAAATAGCAACCCGCGCCCGCGCCGCCCCGCTCGAATGCGTTGCTTCAAGTCCTGAAAACCAAACGAGTCTTCACATGAAGTGAACATAAGTAACAATGTTCACCGAAGTGAACGGCCCGCCTCGTAGGCCAACGTCTCGCAAGCGCAGCAGTGTACCGTCCAAACCTATCGTGATCGGGTCACACTTCCTGGCGGCGTTACGTTCCTGGCGGCGTTACGTGGAAGCCTTGCCACGCTGCAAGTACCTGCATCAACTCAGCGCGAGCTACTGGGAAGAAAATCCCCAAGACTTGACATGAGCTAGGCCCCAGGCCCAGGGAACTTCAACCATGTCTGCATCACCCCGCGCGGCACCTGCGCGCCAGCGCTGGCCCAGACCTGAGCTCCCCACCGGGTGTATTGCCGGGCACCTGCGCAACCTCATGCGTGCCTTCACCAGCCAAAAGGCGGTCGACATCGGTGGCATTTCCCTTAACTTGAACCTCCGGACGACCCATGCGGCTTAAGTGGTGGCATTGAACCTGAGGACAGCACGCCGTGGGAATGGACGCTGACTTGCGGCGCCGCAGCCCTGCCCAATAGGCTGGAGTAAGATACAAGTGGAGCGATCAATTCCAACGCGCCTCCCAGACATGGCTCACACGGGTGCGGAGATGCTTTACGCGCAAGCAAGAAAGAACACTCTTGGATTCTGTGCTCCCTGCGAGATTTACAGGTCTTGGCACCTAGTCCTACAGCATGAAGCCAACATATTTAAAGGCATCACGCTCAAGGTTTGGGATGGCTTGGGCCTCGAAGCAAGAAGAAAAAACAAACACACACACACAAAAAAAAACAAACACAAACACACACACACACACACACAAAAAAAAACACACACACACACACACA